GACTGAGAAGGAACTGTAGGTACTTACTTACAGCAGGTGCAGGCTGTCCTGTGTGCAGTGGTGACTGACTTCTTGGTGTGCTCCGCAGGTGGTGCAGCGGGAGTCGTATCTCGAATTACTGGTTCTGTTGGAAAAGGCCTGGCAGCAATTACAATGGACAAAGAATATCAGCAGAAGAGGAGAGAGGAGATGGGCCGACAGCCTAAAGATTTTGGAGACAGTCTTGCCAGAGGAGGGAAGGGCTTCCTGCGTGTGAGTCTCCTGTTGAGCTTTCAGGAATCTATCCCAGATGCACTGGAGCTATTAGACTAATGACATATGCTCTGTGGCTCTTTCTGCTATGAATTTCGTAAGATTTAATGTTCGTAAAATTAGTGTGTGCACTTACATGGGCATATTGTTAACTGTTAAATTCTTAATCTTATAAAACAAATAGCAGGAAAAAATTAGTATGTCTATGGAGACCTCTAGTGGTCGGTTTAGTGTTAAGCACCATTGGTTTCCTGGAGACTTGATGATGGATTTCTCTTGCAGGGTGTCGTAGGTGGAGTGACTGGAATAATAACAAAGCCTGTGGAAGGTAGGTAGAAAACACTTCTCTCCTGCACGGAGGGGAAGGGTACATGCATGCCAGATGCTGTTGATACTCCATGTTTGACTGAGAGGATTACCGACCAAACTTTATATTACAGTTGTGATTATCAATGTGTTGTCTTCAGAAATGTTAAGGAGTGACTGACTCAGATTTTGAATGATGTTTTCATCAAGGCCAGAAGAAAATTAAATTCTCTGAGGCCCTCTGTAGCCATTGACATGTACTAGGTATATATACATATGCATATATATTTTTATATATATTTAAAAGATATTTATATATTTAATATATATTTAAAATATATAAAACATATAATATATATATAACATATTATGATATATATATGTATACTTTTAAAAATTAAGAGGCAATGTTGGAGGACTTACATGTCCCAATAGTGTTGGCACATGTTGCATGTCTCAGTTTTAAAGCTTACCACACATAAAGCTACAGTGATTATGCTTATATAGCATGATACTGGCATGAAGGTAGGCATGTAGGTCAATGAACCCTTGCAAGTCCTGGATCTTTGAGATGGGTGCTAAGCTGAATCTAGCAGTGGCTTCAGCAGGTGGGACATGTGCATGTGGAGAACAGTAATCCAACCCTGGCATACACGGGATGATGTGCAGAGGGTGAGAGCAGAAGTCAGAACTTAGTGGCAGGTGCAGCAGCTAGTGCTGTGGTTTGACAGAGCCCTTCCAGACGGGATACCAAGGCATGGGTGACAACAGACAAGGCAGATAAGTTGGACTCAACAGGATTTAAGGTTTTATGTGTTGGAGGATACCATGAGGAAAAGGACAGTTTGCCAAAATTAAAACAAAACTCATGTCTTGGAAAATATTATCATAAAAAGAAAAAATTGAACGAAATGAGATAAAAGTCTTGTACTATATTTGATAAGAGATTTATTGCTTGACTATAGAAAGATCTTGTATAAGCTAACAATAAGAAGATAACCCAGATAAAGCTGGAAAAGAATCTGAATATACTGTTCCTCAAGGAAGATATGCAAGTGTACACTTTAGTCATCTGGGAAGTATGGACGGAAATCAAAACTAGAGTTCACTTCACATCAGTTAGGGTCACTAAAGTAAGTCAGTGCAGGTGTGAGGCAATTAGAATCTCCATAGCTGCTGGTAGAGCACACAGTAGTGCAGCCACTTATAGGAGAACATTCTGCCCATCCCTCTGCAATTAAACACGGAAACACCATGTGTTAGCAAGGTACCCCAAAGTGTTGAAAATAGACTTTCAGTCTTACATGAGAATGTTCATAATTTCATTATTCATTGGAGCAAAACATAAAAAGACCTGTCTATCCCCAATGCATGAATAAATAAAATATGGCATATCTGTTCAATAGAATATTCTTCAGCCATAAACTGAAGCCAAGCAGTGATACATGCCACGGTGTAAATGAATTTAGAATGCATGATTCTGAGTAAACAAAGCCCAGACTAGATAGACTGTTCAGTGAAAGCAGCTTGGGTGTAGTGTCCAGAAGAAAGTATACTGGGTGATTGCAAAGTCTGAAGAGGCAGGGAACAGGGAGGAGAGGCGGTGAGTCGGATAGGTTCAGATGGGGATTGGGGAAATAGAGTGACAGACTGTAGGCACAGAGTGGCTTTCTGAGACAACAGGGATTTTCTAAAATTAAGTGTGATGATGTTGTACAGTTCTTAATAGACCAAAAGCATTTAATTTGTATGGTGGGACATTTTATAGTATGTGAACAGAATTTTTAATAAGTTGAGTTGTTTTAATACACTGCTTGGATATCCTAATGGTTGTAATGGAATGAGTAAGTTGCTCTCTGTTAAGTTCTCTGATCTCCCTGGCACATACACTGACTAAGCTGTATCAGTCTTCTTAACTCTGTGTGGGCCTCAGTATCCTGGAAATCTCTACCCACTCTTGGCATAAGCATCTGCTGAAGTGGTCTGGTTTCGGCCCAGGAATCTGTGCTTTGAGAACAACCATGTTATCACGTTAAGATAAAATGTAATGTTCCCCAGACACCTAAATATTTGTGGTTTCTGAGTTGGCTTGTGTTTTTGTTGAGTTCAGACTTGCTTACATTAAAGTATCATTGCATATTTGTTGTCTTTGGTTTCCTAAAGGTGCCAAGAAGGAGGGCGCTGCCGGCTTCTTTAAAGGAATTGGAAAAGGGCTTGTGGGTGCCGTGGCACGTCCAACTGGCGGGATCATAGATATGGCTAGCAGCACCTTCCAAGGCATTCAAAGGTAAGGGAGTCCATCCACTGGGCCGGGTATACTGTATTAGCAAGCTCTAAGGCTCTTGGATGTAATTGAAAGTCATAGAGGCTTTATAAAACCAAGTAGTACTGTGGAAAGGAATAAAAAATGAAATGAGTCTTACAGCGTAGTTTTCATTTAATTTAATTTAATTTAATTTAATTTAATTTAATTTAATTTCATATTCAGTCAGTGAGAGCCAGCAAGGCTCCATAGTGTCCATGACTTCAGAATCTGATGCCTTCTTTCTTCAAGAAAAGGGTGGCTGCTTAGGCATGGCTTTAATAATTTTTTCTTCACTTTGAATGAGTTTTAAAAATTACTAATAGTGTTTACTTGTTTGAGCAAAACTGTTGAGTAGGTTTGATCAACATCAATTTGTCTAATTTTGAAAGATGCTCACGTATTTTCTGTTATGTTATTCAGGGTAGCAGAATCTACTGAGGAGGTGTCCAGCCTCCGCCCACCTCGCCTGATCCACGAAGATGGTATCATCCGTCCATATGACAGGCAGGAATCTGAGGGCTCTGACCTACTAGAGGTAAATATTGTCCTTCATGACCGTGAAATGGAGAGATTCTAGGACAGAGATGTCATGGGTGATTTTTAAAGACCAAATCGTGAGTCTCTGCAGGAGTGTCTGTGGTTATCGAGTAGAAGCTGTTGTTCCGTGTGGTGGCCTGGCATGTTGAGGGGAGCTAACTGGTAACTCATTTTCTGTAAGGACAGGAGCAAGGCACAGGGCCTTTTCTGTGCAGAAAAGACTGTCCTGGGAGCAGCTGCAGGCTGTTTCACCATCCGTGTGGCAGCTTACTTAGTTACCGTGTTTCGCTTTGGCTTCTTGCTTTGTGCCTAATGTTGGAATTGCACTGCTGCCCTTTGCTCTTGGCCATGTGACCTGGCTCCTCTTACTGTGAGAATCTAAAATTATTCTGCTAGACAGAACTAGAGACGAGAAAAAGATTTTAAAAATTAATGTATTTTGGCATTTTATCTTGGCTGTAGTTTCATTATACTTAAATAATATATATACTTAAATTGTTGTTCTCCCATGACTGGCTTTCCCTCAACAGAGACTTATTAATATTTTCATTCTTTATGATAAAGATGACTTAGTTATTCTTAGCCTTTTGTTTTCATTATATGTGATTGCATTTTACCTTTTTGCATGCTTCTAACTTTCTTTTCTTTCTTTTTCTGCCTACACAGCAAGAACTGGGAACACAGGAGTAAATATTTCCCGTACTGCCTGATTCCATCCTTAAAACTCAAATCAAACCTACTATTGTTTAACCGTGTGTGAATCAGACTGAGGGCCAATTTTAATGAAACTTCTTTATGACTCTCTCGTCTTTCTGAGCTTTTCAAAATGGTGGCCCATAGTTGAAAATGATGGCTTCATGTAATTCTACATAGGGCTAAGTGATTGGTGTAAAAGATTCCATGGTGCAGGAAATAACTTTGCTAGTTTGTGGTTAGGAGGTTAAAGGATGTTGAGCCCAGAGAACATTCTTTGCTACAGTTTTGGGAGTTGTATCCCTTGTGAATCAGGTTGTTCATGTACACTTCAGATGAAGTTGAGAAGGATGGCTCTGTGCAGTGAATGTCTATATTTCTGAATCTCAATGATGGAATTATGTAGAGTTCTGTTCCACATAGCACCCCAAACTTAAGTTATGGGACTATTAACCTGGGAGATAATGTTTTCATAAATAATACAGAGTTTCTCTGAGCTTGTCCTTAGACCTGAGATGAGTCTTGGCATAGGAATTGTAGGAGAATGTTCCTTCAGTATATTTTTTCTTTCATAAATCATTTATGGCTAAATAAATGATATAATTTTATATGGTCTGCACCCTTATCCTTCATCAGGATGCTTTTGGAAAACTAAGCCCTATTGTTGGTTACACTTACCTCATAATTACTAGTTTTAATTATTGTAAGTAGAGGTAGTAACAGAACATGGTATTAGTCAATTATCGCTGTGGCAGCCGAGTGTATAGATATCGCTCCTTTTATAAACAAACAGAGGGAGGGCTGGGAGATGGCATAGTTGGTAAACTCGTCCTAGCAAGCACAAAGACCTGAGTTTAGATCTCCAGTACCCATAGAAAAGCCACATGTGGTGGGTGGTACATGTCTGTGCTCCAGTACTGGGTGGAGTAGGTGTCAGGAAACGGCAAAATCTGGAGTTTGTTGACAGCCAGCTCACTTATTTTTAGTGAGTACCAGATTTAGTGAGAGAGCCTACTCAAAATCAGAGTAAAACAGAAGATAGTAATGGAGGAAGACAGCTGATAACAAGTTCAGTCCTCCACACATCCACGCCTGCACACCTGCACACCTTCACAGACTCATATACAAATGTTTGTACACATGCATATGCCACACATAACATGTGTGCACCCCTTCACAGACACATGCTCAGATGTACATGTGCATATGGCTCTGACACTTTATAAATTTAATCCCCAGAGGTTTCTCTTGATGAGAACAAAATAACTATAAATTATCATTTGTACCCCAGCTAATTCCCAAAGTAAATGATATTTTAATTTCTATTTTAAATAATAATGGAAATGTTTAGTTTTGTGATTTAACAGTGTCTTATCTATCCACTAATATTGAAGCCAAAATAGAAACTTGATCCTTAATATATATTTTAAAGATAATGAAGCTGTTAAGATGCAAGCATTCAGTTGGATTATATATTCTCTTTGTGGACAGGGTCTACTGTGTGGTCCTGGTTGGCCTGGAATTCTCTGTGCACACCAGGCTGGCCTTGAATCCATAGAGATCCTCTTGCTTTTGCCTCCCATGTGCTGGTACTAAAGGCATGCATTTATGGTTTTAAATGCATAGTTATAAAAAGCAATTAGTTGCCGGGCAGTGGTGGGGCACGCCTTTAATCCCAGCACTTGGGAGGCAGAGGCAGGCGGATTTCTGAGTTCGAGGCCAGCCTGGTCTACAGAGTGAGTTCCAGAACAGCCAGGGCTACACAGAGAAACCCTGTCTCAGAAAAAAAAAAATTAGTTGAACACTAAAGCAGACACTGTAAAGAGAAAATAACTGATGTCCAAGACCAGACAGCACTGGATAGACAAAAGAAATGACTTGCATCCTTGGCTAGGGCACAGCTCAGGTAAAGCAGCATGCACAAGGCTTAGGTTTGAACCCTGGCATCGCCATGTTCCCCTCAAAACAGGACTTCTGTGCTTATGGGACCAAGTATAGAAAACTACGTAAATATTAATAGTAGCCAAAACAAAAAGCTTCTAGTGTCTGGATAATTGGGGATAGGTACAATGTCCCTGTGTGTGCAGCTTCGGTGAGAATCTAGCACAATCTTTCGCTTCAGATGCTGCAGCTCCTTGTGTGGGAGTCACAAGTTTTAGTTTTCCTGAATATATTCCAATTTTACCGAGACTTTTGTGATTCTCTGAGATCTGGGGTCTTTTTTTTTTTTAATTTATTATGTTTTATTTTTTAGCTCCTTTGTGATTCTTGTGATTTCTTTTTATATATATATGTATTAAGCAAAAAGTTATTTTAGCTAAGGCTGTAGTCATCTTGTATGACTTTTAAGTTTTTGTTACAATGTCAGACAACCCTTTAAATTGTAATATATTGTACTAATTTTGGAAGAAATAGAGGGTAACTGCTGTAGGGTTTGGTAGCTTGTTCGTGGGTAACTGAGTTTAGCTCCTGCAGCTCTCCCTGTCTTGCTGTGATCAGAGAGCTGAGCAAGAAGCACTTTCTGATTAGTTAGACTCTGCTGGATTGATTCCTTAAGGGAGTAAGTGTAACTAGACCTGTAAATGTCACAAAGTCCTAGAGTATTAGATTATATCTTCCTCGCTCTTACTGTAATACTGGCTTATTCTAAATAATTTATTTGGGGGTCCTTTTGAGCTCCCTTTATTATTTTTTTAACCTACTAAGCATTCCTCTGTGAAAATCCTCACTTACATGCCATGTGTTTATAGCATAATCCACTCTAGGATTCCCTTAGGATGATGCTGCTTATATGGTACATGTATATATATGTATAGATAGATAGATAGATAGATAGATAGATAGATAGATAGATAGATAGATAGATAGCCAGGCTTTATTTATTATTTATTTTGCTTGTAATTCTTAATAGTCATACAATATTTAATGTGGTTTTCTTTGCTTTTCTACCTAATTATATTTTTCTGTGTATGGAAATGTTTTATTAACACTTTAACCCTTGCCTGTCCACTCGCTCACTGAGGTAATCTTGCATTGTGTATCTCTGTTCTTTGCTCTGACTTTGGTTCCTGTACTGTACTCGGTGATATTATTAACTTTGTGATAAATACCACTGTACATTTTCATTCTGCCTTTTCACGCCTTGTGCTGTTTCCTTAGAATTAATTTGAAAGGGATGAAAAAGAATGGGTAAAGGATCCTTTCATTTACCAAAACATTACTAAATTCCTCATGTTGAGTTTTGGAACCAAGTATTGCATTGGTCAGTTTGGTCTCCTGTTATCCTTAGTGATTGTTTCTTGCTCTGAATTTCAGAGTCTAGTGGATCTTTCATAGCACTGAAAAGATGTTTTTCAGTGCATCCTGGTGATGAATTGCACATGAGGGCTCTAGGCGGTTGAAGCACAGCTTGGTAAAGAATGGCCATGTGAGGAGAGAAGCAGGCGTCCCCCAGCTTCTCTGGCTTAAGCATGCTGTCACGTATCACCATCATGTATAGCCTAGATCCAGCTAAAGGCACCACATTGTTATACTGCGCTATTCTGCTTTTCTGTTCTCTCTGAAGAAACTGAGGGTTTGATGGCAAAATATTGTTGAGAATTCACAGAGTGGACTGTGAAACAAGTGCCATCTCCTTTCCAAGATGTGTTCTGGAGATGCCGCTTCAGCTCTGCAGGAATTCTCTTCCTCATCCGTGGCTCTTGCAATCCTTGCTTGTAGCTTTTTTTTTTTAATTGGCAAGGAATGACTAGGGGCCTACATATTTTAAAATGTGAGTTCCATCGCCAGCACCACCAATAACAAATGTACTTAAGCTTTGCAATACCAAACACCAGGTGTGCTTTCCTGGCAGTGTGTATGCTGACTGTATGATCCTGATGCTGTTGGAGTGTGTCCTCAGTCATGCAGTGGTACAGTCTTCATTACCCAGTGTGTCTGTCTTCTCTATTTTATGCCCATGTATTATGTGATCTTTAATCACCCATTATAGATGGTCTCAATGATATTTATTAGTATTTGTTATAAAATGTATTTGTTTTTAATGTGTATTGACTAATATAAGTCAATAGTTTTAAGATACTTGAAAAAGAAAATAAATATTTTATTGGCTACAATTTATACTTGGGTTTTTCGTGCATTAGGAATAAACTGTGCAAATATTTTGAAATGGTAGAAATTCTTTGTGTCCATAATTGTCTATTTTAGTCAGAAATATAATTGCATACAAAAATGTTTCTTTTCAACTTGTGCTTAATCTAATGACCAAATACATAAAGACAGCAAAGCCCTTTCAGGATTATCATTATGTGGTATATAACCCTGTCCAAATTAGTGGTTGGGTCTTAGCTTGTTAAAAATTATTTTTTATGTATTTGTGTGTGTGTGCCTGGGTGTGTGTTTGTGCATCATGTGCATGACTGAGCCTTTGGAGGCCAACAAAGGGCATCAGATTCCGTGGAACTGGAGTTACAGGAGATTGTGAGCTATAGTGTGGATGCTGGGAATAGAACCTGGATTCTCTGAAAGAGAAGCAAGTGCTCTTACCCATTGAACCATCTCTCCAGCCCCCAGATCTTAGCTTTTAAGAAAAGTCACATACTTCTTTCAAAGAAACCTGAAGAAAACTGTGAGCCATCCTGTGAAAACGGCTATTTCTGAATTTTATGTCTGTGCCATCCCAAGTCCTTGCTAGGGAATGACCCTTTAAGGACCACTGAGACATTAATGTGGTGATTTTTTTGTTACTATATTTATATATTCTTAATGAAGATATGTGATTGTTTCTGGTTGATAGCTTTGAGTTTCTTAAGTTACTAAGAACAAGATATTTTTCATCAGATGGTCACTTGGTCAGTGTTCCATATATTTGTCTCTTAAGGCAACAGTGAAAAGTAATCGATAACTATATTACAAATAGGCTATTTTCTTGCTACAGATGCCAATATGCAGTATTCTGGTTTTGTTTCTAATGTACCTTTTCCTAACATTGATTATCATCGGCTGCTATAAAAATTATATTTAAATATATGTAGCTCCTAAGTCTTACCTCTTGCTTTTTTTTTTCAGAATCATATCAAGAAGTTAGAAGATGAGGCCTACCAGTTCCACTGTGCGGTTCCTGGAAACAAGAGGGCTGTCCTTATGATTACAAACAGGTATCACCTGCCTTCTAGATGCACCCAGCTGTGCTCATACTCATGGGAGGACTTTCAGAGGACAGGGGCAAGATAACCATTTCCATATGTCAGAGACACACAGCTCTGGATAGCTCTCTGACAGTGTGTGCTCCAAGCCCCTCCTTCTGGAGATGCAGAAGCTTGGCCCAGATTGGCTTAGGGCTATCCCAAAGGCAAGAGCTGCTGAGAACACATTGAGCTTGGCCTCACTCTTGCAGTGAGGTCACTGTAAGGAGTCACTTCCAATAGACGAGGGCGATGTCACTTTCCCTTGTAAGGTTTTATATGGGATATTGACAAATCCCTTTTCAGGGTGGTGTTGTTCTGTATGCCCATCCAAATTCCTTCTGAGTGTTTTGGAAATAGCAAACACCTTCTCCAGAGAAAAGGGATTTGTGCTAAAATATCAAACTTAATGTCCTGGGATTTACCCTAGAAATAAACTTATCTACAGATAACTACTGTAGATCAATAATTTTCAAAGTGCTGTATTTTGTAAGATTAAAGCAGATTGCATAGAGTAGGCACACTCTGCCCAGTGTTCTTTCTCCCTCTCTTTTATGCTCTCCCTTCCTCCCATCCTCTATCCCTTCCCTTCTCCCTCCCTCCCCTCCTCTCTCCCTCCTTCCCTCCCCATCCTTCTTTCTCCTCCCCCTCTATCCCTTTCCCTCCCTTCCTCCCTCCCTTCTTCCCTTTCTCGTTCCCTCCCTTCTTCTCTCCCTTTTCCTCTAATGTATCCATCTGTCTGAATTTTGGAAACCAAATCCAAGGTGTAATGGTTGCTAAGCGAGTGCTCTCCCACCAAGCTGCAACCCCAGCTCCTCACTATTGGATCTGAATATACCTGAATGGGAAGAAAAATAAGGAAAGGTGAATGAAGTATGGAATCTAGACTTTGATATGAGCCTTTCTAAACAGGTTAGTTAGCTAACCAGTCATATAAGGAAGGGTTATTCAGTCACCATATTGGTCCATTAGTTGGGATGTGAATGCAGGGGCTATAGAGATGGCTTGGCAGATAAGAGCACTTGCTGCTCTTGTGGGGGCTCAGGTTCAGTTTTTAGCACCCACCTTGGGCTGATGCCTCTGATGTCTATGGGCACCTGCACTTAAGTGCACACACCCATACTCAGATACACTTCAAAATGAAAATAAATAAGACTTTGAAAAGTCTGGAGTGGAGATCTTGGAGACTCCATACCAGTGTGTGTCACCTAGTTGAACTGTGATACTTGGAGCAGGAGAGAGAAAGGAAACTTCATATGTTAGGAAAGTGTGTTACTGTAGTGCTCAGGAGAAGAGAGAGCTTAAAAATGCACAAAACAGTAAGTTGCCTTTGGCACAAGGCTTTGCTATCTGATACTGCACTGGACTTAGGGTCAGGGGTGTGGGGATGCTTATCAGAGACTGATAGACCTGTGTGTGAGTACTGAAAGTGTCACAAGAAGGAAGGCACTGCAGGCTCTTGCTCTGCAAGGACCAGGGGTCCTATAGCTATCAGTCTCAAACAATTCCAAAATTCTCATAGCACCCCCTTGAGAGACATTAAACCCCCTGCTTTAATTTCCCTGTGCCTTGATCACCAGGTTCATTCAGGTCTGCCTTCCTGGACACTCAGGTCTAGCCCGTTCTCTCTCCTTATAGCCACTGTCATAGTGAGGCTGGCGATGTTTCCTTCTGGGCTTTGCCGCAACTGCCAGTCTTAATGTTCTATTCCAGGCCTGGAGCCCCAACTCTCTGCTTGCCACCAGAAGTATGACTGAAATAAAGAACCTTCATTTTGTGTCTGATTACCCATAAGTTGTAATTTAAAGAGGACACTAATATCATTCTAAAATCAAACATTAAGGTGATTTTTCTTGCCAAGGTATGCATTTGGCATTCCAGCCACAGACCTCCACACTCCTCAATAAGCCTTTCCTTCTGCTGGGGTTGATGGTACAGGCTGTTATCCCTGCTGCATGGGAAAGCAAGTCAGGAGGACTGAAGGGTTAAAACCTGACAGATTGAGTGGAGGGCCAGCCTAGGCAAAGTTGTGAGACCTGCCTCAAGATACATGGGGTCATAGCTCAGTGAGAGAATACTTGCCTAGCATTTGCAAGACCCTGAGTTGAGTACCACACAATCACTTTGCACCACTTAGTCTGTCAGAGTGTCTGTATTGTCTAAACAGTCTCTGCCTCTTTATAAAGAGAACACCCTCTTCTCATGATCAACTTGAACTCACCCTCCATGTCATCAGTGCAGCCTGCCCCCTTTTCAATGCTCTGAGTTCTTGGTGGCCTTCATTGTCTATGTGCTCATTTTCCCTTTTGAGCATGGGGTACCTCTCCAGCAGAGCCCTCACCTTTATTCTCTCCTCTGGCACCTACATGTTGTTTGAATTCACAAGTCTACATTTTTAGTTTTGTTGTCTTTAGTAGAGACTTACAATCAAGTATAGTTACATCAATTATTAATCTGACTCAGTGACTGGGAAATCAGTCTTGGTGTCCTTTAAGGATTATGCTGGGTTTTTTTTTTATTGCTATTCAGTAAAACGAGACATTTCTCCTCTGATATACATTAACGTTAAAATGTTCGAGTCTGGTATTTATTAGTAAGTCCAAAGTGAGTCTTTGCTGACATTTGGGCTTGTGACATTTGCTGTATGATCTGTGTTGGCTGGAAGGCATAAGTGACTGACAGGAAAGAGCAATTAGGAATATTCCCAAGTAAATTGGCTCCTCTTCAGGGGCTTCTGCTTCTTGCCTCCCAGTTGAGGGTACATCCTGCGCCTCTTGTGTTTCGAATGTGATTTCCCTCTCAGTTGTTTTTGCTGGTTCAAAACCAAAGACAGCATTCCTGAATTCTGCAAGATAGACAGAAGGGGCATTTCTAAAGTCCATTTTGTTTGGTAGAGAGTTATATTGCATTTCATTTAACATTTATATAGACTTTTTTTTTTAAATGAAGAGGATGCTTTTCTGAGTGAATTTTTAATTTTTTTATTGTTACTTTTATTTTTTTACAATCTAGCCATTGTCCCCCTCCTGATCCTCCTCCTACAGTTCTTCATCCCATTCCCCCTCCCTCCTGTTTCTAAGAAAATGTCTCCTCCCCCACCAGGCCATCCTACTCTCTGAGGCCTCCTGTCTTTCCAGGGTTAGGCACAGCTTCTCCCACCGAGGCCAGACCAGGCAGTCCTCTGCTATATAATTGTTGGGGGCCTTGGACCAGTTCTTATATGCTGCCTGGTTGGTGGCTCACTATCTGAGAGATCTCAGGGGTCCAAGTTAGTTCAGACTGCTGGTCTTCCTGTGGGGTTACCCTCCTCCTCAGCTTCTTCTAGCCTGTCCCTCATTCAACCACAGGGGTCCCTGACTTCAGTTCAATTGTTGAGTGTAAGTATCTGCATCTGCCTCAGTCAACTGCTTATTTGGCCTCTCAGAGGACAGCTATGCTAGGCTCCTGTCTGTAAGCACAGCATACCATCAGTAATAGTGTCAGGCCTTGGAGCTTCCCCTTGAGATGGATCCCAAGTTGGGCCGGTCACTGGACCTCCTTTCCCTCAGTCTCATCTCCATTTTTGTTCCTGCAGTTCTTTTAGACAGGAACAATTCTGGGTCAGAGTTTTTGACTGTGGAATGGCAACCGCATCCCTCCACTTGATGCCCTGTCTTTCTACTAGAGGTAGACTCTATGAGTTCCCTCTCTCCACTGTTGGGCATTTAATCTAAGGTTCCTCTCTTTGAGTCCTGAGAGTCTCTTACCTCCCAAGTCTCTGATACTTTCTAGAGGGTCGCTTCACCTCTTCCCCAACCCCAAGGTTGCATATTTCCATTCATTCTGCTGGCCCTCAGGGCTTCTCTCCTGTTTCTCCCCACCCCCATACCTGATTATGTCCCCCTTTTCCCCTCTCCCTCCCATCTCTCACCCAAGTCCTACCCAAATCCCTCCCTCTGCCTCCCATGATTGCTTTCTTCTTCCTCCCAAGTAAGATTGAGGCATCCTTACTTGGGCCCTTCTGCTTGTTAACTTTCTTGAGTTCTGTGGATTGTATCCTAGGTCTTCTGTACTTTTTGGCTAATATCTGCTTATCAGTGAATATATACCATGGATATCCTTTTGAGTCTGAAGTACCTCACTCAGGATATTTTCTAATTCCATCTATCTGCTTGCAAAACTCATGATGTCCTTGTTCTTAATAGCTGAATAGTATTCCATTGTGTAAATGAACCACATTTTCTATATCCATTTTTTATTTGTGGGACATCTGGGTTGTTTCCAGCTTCTGCCTATTACAGATAAGGCCACTATGAACATAGTGGAGCACATGTCCCTGAGGTATGGTGGGGCATCTTTTGGGTATATGCCCAATAGTGGTATAGCTGGGTCTTCAGATAGATCAATTCCCAATTTTCTGAGAAACCTTCAGATTGATTTCCGGAGTGGTTGTACCAGTTTATAATCCCACCAGCAATGGAGGAGTGTTCCTCTTTTTCCACATCCTCACGAACAGGTGCTGTCACCTAAATTTTTGATCTTAGCCATTCTGATTGGTGTAAGGTGGAATCACAGGGTCATTTTGCTTTGCATTTCTCTGATGACTAAGGACTTTGAACATTTCTTTAAGTGTTTCTTGACCAGTTGAGATA